CAAAAAAAAACGTATATTTCCATCAAAAATGAAGTGGAAGCAGTGGCTGCCATTCGACCCTATTTCGATAAGTTAGATTTACCAAAATTGACACAAGCAGTAAAATGAAATTTTCTAGTAAACGTATTTTTTGCCTATTTTTTTTGTTTATGGTTTTTCAAGAGGTTTTAACTGCTCAGTCTGAGCAAATTTTAACAATATCCATAGGAAAAATTGGTAATTTGGAAGGCTCTTTATTGATGCCAGAGTATAAAAAGAAGCAAAAAGTTCCGTTGGTTGTGATTATTGCTGGTTCGGGACCGACGGATAGAAATTGCAATGCCCCCAATATGGGCTTGAAAACCAATGCCTATAAAATGCTCGCAGAAGGCTTGGCAAAAAAAGGCATTGCCAGTTTTCGCTATGATAAACGACAGATTGGTAAGAGTAAAGTGAACCAAAAATTGGAAGATGTCGTGTTTGAAGATTTTGTGAATGATGCTCAACGCTGCGTTGATACGCTAAAGGCAATGAAAAAATTTAGCAAAATAGTGATAGCAGGACACTCAGAAGGCTCATTAATTGGCATTTTAGTTGCCCAAAAATCGGAAATTGACGGATTTATTTCCCTTTGCGGACCTGCAAGAAGCATTGATTCGCTTATCTATGAACAATTAAACAAGCAATCTCCCCTTGCAACAACTCAACTTGCTACCATTTATGAAAAATGGAAGCATAATGAACCAGTCGATACGATTCCATTTTATTTGCAAAGTGTAGCCAATCCTTTGATACATAAATTTATGATTTCACAAATGAAATACACGCCTTATATTGAGATAAAAAAATTGACTGTGCCAGTTTTATTGGTTTCTGGCACAGCTGATATGCAAGTAACTGGCAAGGAAGCAGAACTTTTAGCGCGAGCTTATCCTGTTGCACAGATAAAAAACATTGAAAAAATGTCTCATGTACTTAAAATAGTAGAAAATAATGATTTTGAGAAATCAATGGCGGTTTATACTAATCCAGATTTATTGTTGTCGGAAGATTTATTGGAAGTAACTTTAGCTTTTATAAAACAAAAAGTGTTATGAAAATACTTTCTATAACAGAGAAGTTAAGCCCATTTGCGCCGATGATATTGCATCCTTGAATGTGGGAAAGTAGGTCATCGCCCTTTTTTAAAAGCCCGTTTTTATGCACAAGCATAGATACGGGCTTTTTTTATTTTGATACTATTTTGCAGCAAAATTAGATAAGGTAAGTACTGTGTGTGTATCTGTCATTTGCATTTTTAATAATTGTATCTCCAAGATTTCTTTTCTCGCTCTAATCTCATTTTTTCTATTTCATCCTGAGTTCGACGAGCATTTTTCATTAAAAAAATGATTTTTAGACTCAAATAGGGTGTTTTGCAAGAATAAATAGCAATTAGCTCCCATTTTTTGCAAATTTACTAAAAGCAAAACAATATATTTTCAAATAAATAAACATTTTTTCAATTTTTGCAGAAAAATTAGCTTTAATATATTGATAATCAATTTATTATCGTCGAATTTAGGATTAATATAACATTCTCCTCAAAAATGCTTTATCCAATTTCGTTTCGATATGGGGCAGAAGTTTGTGCCCCCATGCGGGTCACAGAAATCGCGGCAGCTTTACACGCAAAATGACAGGCTTCTCGCCAATTCACGTCTTCGCATAGTGCATTCACCAAAGCACCATTAAAAACATCGCCGGCAGCGGTTGTGTCAATGACTGCTACTTCCCTCGCTGGAATTATTTCAGAAAATTGGGCATTAGATAAAAAAACACCTTGACTTCCAAGTGTGATAATGACGTTTTGAACGCCTTTTTCATGCAAAAAATGAGCAGCATTGCTCAAGGTTATTTTATTTTTAGGAAAAATGCCTGTAATGGTATAGGTTTCGGTTTCGTTTGGCGTAATTAAAAATAAATCTTTTAGCAATTCATCACTCAATTTTGTAGCAGGTGCAGGATTTAGCACTACCTTTACGCCCATTTTTACGCATCGTTTTTTGACATTTTCAACGGTTTCAATTGGTATTTCTAATTGCATCAGCACTATTTTGGCTTTTTTCAGTATTTCGTCGGAGATTTCGGCATCCGAAAGTGCCATATTTGCGCCCGAAGCTACAACAATATTATTTTCCCCTTTTTCATTAATGGTAATTAATGCAACGCCCGATGGTAAATCTGTGGTTTCGATGATATGTTGTGTATCAATATTATCATTTTTAAAACTATTGATGGCTGATGCTCCAAATAAATCTCTGCCAACTTTGGTAATAAAAATAACCTCTGCGCCCAACCGAGCTGCTGCAACGGCTTGATTGGCTCCTTTTCCACCCAAATTCATTAAAAAAGTGCCACCCAGAACGGTTTCGCCCGGTTTAGGAAAATTTTTTGTTTTTACGACCATATCTGTATTGGAGCTACCAATAACCACTATTTTATGTTGCATTTTAAAATTTTTTGAAAAGCAAAGTTAATTAAAGTTTTAATGCTTAAAAATAATTGATGTGCCCAAAATGAATTTTTGCCGTTCACCAATTGCGCTGTTTCTGCTATAATTCCATTATTATTTACTAAATATTTGATTGTCAATTATTTATTTAAAATAAATTTAGTCATTTTTTATTTTCAGATTCTTATTTTATATTTAATCGTTTTTTATTTTTTTTTAAAAATTTAATATAACGAAATATATAATGCAAAACGAAAATTCAACTCACCACGATTTACAGCGTTCTCTGGGGCTTATAGATGGTACAATGCTCGTGATTGGCTCCATGATTGGTAGTGGTATTTTTATTGTAAGTGCCGATATTACTCGGACGGGCGGCAGCGCAGGCTTTTTGATTTTGGTGTGGTTATTAACGGGCTTTTTGACCTTGACGGCTGCCGTAAGCTATGGCGAGTTATCAGGTATGTATCCGAAAGCAGGTGGGCAATACGTTTATTTGCGCGAGGCGTTTGGGCCACTTTTAAGTTTTTTGTATGGCTGGGCACTTTTTCTGGTCATTCAAACGGGAACGATAGCTGCAGTAGGCGTGGCATTTTCAAAATTTGCAGCATATATTTTTCCATTTTTAAGCGAAAAAAATATCCTTTTCGATTTGGGATTTATAAAAGTGAGTGCAGCCCAGCTCATGTCTATCTGTCTAATTATTTTGCTAACTTATTTGAATACGAAAGGCATCGAAAATGGTAAATGGATTCAACTTATTTTTACGTTAGCAAAGCTTATTTCTTTGTTTGGACTAATTATTTTGGGGTTTCTTCTGGGGGCAAAAGCAGAAATTTGGAATGCGAATTGGGCAGATGCGTGGTCTTTTCACAAATTGGTAAAAACAGAAAGTACGGCTGCTATTTCAAAGGAATTTTTTTCGGGAGCGATGGCAGTTTTGAGTGCGATTGTAGTTGCATCGGTGGGCTCTATTTTTTCGAGTGATGCGTGGAATAACGTCACTTTTATTGCAAGCGAAATGAAAAACCCAAAACGAAATATTGGGCTGAGCTTATTTCTTGGAACGCTAATTGTTACAATTATTTATGTATCCGCCAATTTGATGTTTACAGCAGTTTTGCCTATGAGTGAGCTTGCTTTTGCGAAAGATGACCGCGTAGCTATTGCGGCTGCAAAGGCTTTTCTGGGTGAATATGGTACAATTGTTATTGCTGTTATGATTATGATTTCGACATTTGGCTGCGCCAATGGCATGATTTTATCGGGAGCAAGGGTATATTATACGATGGCACAACATGGCTTATTTTTTAAGCAAACCGCGACATTGAATGGAGCTAATGTGCCTCAAAATGCACTTTGGTGGCAATGTATTTGGATTTGCATTTTGTGCCTTTCTGGTAAATACGGTGATTTGTTGGATTATGTAACATTCGTAGTGTTGTTATTTTATGCTTTGACAATTCTTGCAATTTTTGTTTTGCGTCGTAAAGTTCCGAATTTAGAACGTTCTTATCGTGCTTTTGGCTATCCATTGTTGCCTGCAATATATATTTTTTTAGCATTGGTCATTTGTGGGGTATTACTGGTTTATAAACCCAACTATACGTGGCCTGGGTTGGGGCTGGTGCTGTTGGGCATACCAGTATATTATTTTGCGTTGAGAAAGAATTGATAATCGCGGAACTAAATTTGATAAATTTAAGTTGTTTTTTAAAATTTTTTGACCTACTTTGCATTTTTCCTTAGAAGCAATTCGTTATAACTTACATTCAACTTGGAAGATACATATCGGCATAGAGGGCTTCGTCGCCAGTTAATTGATTCGTTGCGGGAAAAGGGTATCCATCAAGAAGATATTTTGGCTGCTTTTAATGCCATTCCGCGCCATTTTTTCTTGGATAAGGCTTTTGAAGAATGGGCTTATCAAGATAAAGCCTTTCCTATCGGCTACGATCAAACGATTTCGCAGCCATATACAGTAGCTTATCAAACTGCGCTACTTAAGGTTGAGCCGAAAGATAAGGTTTTAGAAATTGGGACTGGGTCCGGTTATCAAGCGGCAGTGTTGGCATATCTGGGCGCAAAAGTATTTACTTTGGAGCGTCAGGAGGCTTTATACGAAAAATCGCGCCAATTATTGGCTAAGTTAGGATTTGCCAATGTGCGTGTTGTCTGGAAAGATGGCTATGAAGGCTTGGAGGATCAAGCACCTTTTGATAAAATATTGGTTACTGCTGGCGCGACCGAAAAACCTCAAGTGTTGTTGAATCAGCTTAAAATTGGTGGTTACATGGTTATTCCGATTGGAAATGCTAAAGTGCAGCAGATGTATCGTATCACTCGTTTGAGCGAAATAGACTTTGAAGATGAAATTTTTGATGACTTTGTATTTGTACCATTTTTAACAGGAATGCAGAAGAAAAAAAGAAATTAATTTTTGTTACAAATTACTGACTATCAATTTTTTATAATAATTTTAGGTTTTGCTAATCTTTGTGTTTTGCGCCTAAAATAAAGGTAGAGTATCACGTGCTTATTCCAACTTCACCGAACAGAAGGTTAAATTATTTGGCATATTTTGGATAAAAAAATATTTAATAAAAATAGTATCAAATATCAAGATGAAAGTCAAATTTGCTTTTTTTGCTTTATTTTTTTTAATAATGGCTTGTGCTAATGATAATACTTCTAAAAACAAAAGTACTGCTCACGCCACAACACCTGCCGCAACAGCCGATACAGCAACAATACCAACATCAAATACAACAAAAAAAACAATTTTATTTTTTGGAAATAGCCTAACTGCCGCTTATGGCCTTGACCCTGCACAAGGTTTTGTAGGTCTGATTCAACATCGCTTGGATTCTCTGCGTATGCCATACAAAGTTATCAATGCAGGTTTGAGTGGTGAAACGACGGCTGGTGGCAAGGAACGAGTGGATTGGATTTTAAAACAATCAGTCGATATTTTTGTGCTCGAACTTGGTGGAAATGATGCCTTACGAGGTATAAAACCTGAAGAATCATATAAAAATTTGCAAAGCATTATTGATAAAGTGAGAACAAAATATCCACAGGCTAAAATTATATTAGCAGGTATGCAGGCACCGCCTAATATGGGTGTAGCATTTACCAAAGCATTTAGGGAAATATATCCAAAATTAGCGAAAGAAAATAATATCGCGCTGATTCCTTTTTTGCTGGAAGGCGTGGGCGGTATCTCAAAACTAAACTTGCCCGACGGGATTCACCCAACGCCACAAGGACACAAAATAGTGGCAGAAACTGTCTGGAATATTTTAAAAAATAATATAAATAACTGATATAAAAATAAAATAGAAACAATTTATTTTCTTTGTAATATTTTAATTGCTTGAGTGGCGATGAGATATTGAGCAATAATATAAGTGCTCATAATCCAAAGTGAACTATAAACAATTGGCATCTTAAATTTATTGATGGCAATAAGGCTATCAGAAATTAAAAAAAGTAAAACACCTGCAAATAACAATCTCCAAACATTTGAAGTAAGACAGTCCTTTAAATGAGCGCAGCTTATCGCCATCGCTGTGATGACAAGGCTATATAAAACAATTGGAATACGAAATTCATTACTAACATCAGGAACAACAAAAGCAACGATAATGCTCCAATAGAACACAAAAACAAGCACCCAAAGCCATTGAATAGGATAATGATGTCTTAACTGAAATTTACGGTAGGATACAAAAGCAGCCGTATAACAAATTTGGGTAATTAAAAAACAGCCCAAACCCAACAAAAAATAAAGGCTATTTTGACTTTGAAACATTAAAAACGAATCACCACCAATCGAAAAAAACAGACCCAATAGCATAAAATAACGAAACTGAGAAGGAATTAGACCTTTCGAGAAATGGTAAAAATAGATGGAAAGACTAATGAGCAGCAAGGGCTTTGAAAAATAGACAAGCCACGACCGTTCTGTCAGTGTTGCAGCAATATTTAACGCTGCACTTATCCAAAATAAAATTATCCAAAAAGGCATATTCTCATATTTATTCCAGTTTTTTCATCCTACTATCCAGCAAAGGGTGATCATCGTCATTAGCATGATGAATTTCAATTTTTTCAGAAGAAAGCTTATTCATTGGTATAATTACGCGTTTAGTTTCTGTTTGAATAACCAACGAGGTTGTATCGATTTCTATAATTTCACCTCTAATATTGTCAATAGTAACAATATCGCCTGGGTTAATGCGGTCTTTTGTATAGAAAGAAGTTAAAAAACTTGACATTAAATCTTTAGATGCAAAACCATAACCCAAAGCAAAAGCGAATACAATGCCTCCTAAGATAATAGTTAAGTTTGATTTTATAAAATCCGTGTCAATTTTAGCCTGGGAAAGTGCACTAATTGCAACAGTTAGAAAAATAAAATAAAAAACAAAATTTGCAATCATACCCGCCGACGGAATCCCCAGCGATTTACAAGTAGTTAGGACAATCCCCTTGATCGTATCTGCCAATAAAACACCTGCAAAAAGCACAATAGATGCCGCAATAAGGCTCGGAATGTAGTTGATAAGGTCACGAACCAACTGAGAAACAACTGGCATCCCCAAAATATCGGTCGCTACGATGATAGAAATAAGCAAAAGCAGATAATAAACCGTTTTAGCAATAAGTGTACTCGGAATAATGGAAATGTGAGAACGCTGAACAATCTCTATATCATTGAGGCGTGTAGCTAACCTATCAATGCCAGTAGCAGCCAACACCTTTCGAAGCATCTTACTCACGCCTTTAGAAAGAAGCAGCCCCACAATCAGTACCAGAAGTGCGGACAAAATACTCGGTAATGTCTGAGCCAAACGCTGTAAAATCTCCCACGATAATCCTAATAGGCTCGAATCTTCTAAAAATAACATCAGTATAATTTATTAAAATAGTCTATTGTTCGGTTTCAAATTCACTACAAGATAGTCAAATTGATTCAGACTTTTTATATTTTTAAAATAATTTTTGGTTTATTTTGCTTGAAATGCCGTAAAATAGTTCCCCCCTCTAAAAACTATCTTACCAATGTTTGTTCATAGCTTTGATTTTATGTATTCTTACCCATGTAGGTTGGGTGGTAGTTCTCCATGTCCGTTTTCAAGTCTATTTTGCCCATTGGCAGAAGGCAACTTCGTAGCTGGTGGCGGTTGTTCGCTGGAATCTCCTCCAAAAAGCGCGACCAAAACCTTGGCCGCTTTAGGCACGTACAAATCAACTGTGTGAGCCACCGTTTGCATAAAGTTCACAGTTCGAATAGCACGTTTTTCTACCCTTTTGGGTGCAGGTGGATGCTCTTTTTCGATATCCTTAAAAGGATTTTTTCTCATGAGTTAAGCATTTTGAATTTTCAAGTTTAGAGGTTAGAAAATTAAGTTCGGGATTAAAAAAATAATTGACAAAACCTCTTGATTTTTATTAGTCATCATTTGGGTAGAGGCTCTGGTATGTTCTCAATGCTTTTTCTTTCGCTCGTTTTATTTTCATTTTTATGGCACTCTCCGTTTTATCGAGTACTTCTGATATTTCCTTTATCGTCATGTCATCTTGATATTTCATTAGCAGAATTGCGCGGTCGTCCACTGAAAGCGTATCCAATACGTGACGGAGCTGCTTTACTTCCATCTCAAACAAAAATTCATCAGGCACTTCAGTATCTGCCACATCAGGGGCGCGTTCTATGTCTTCGACGAAGATTTTTTTATCTTTTTTTCCGCGTCTTATCAAATCTATGCAATAGTTATAGGTAATCGAATATATCCACGTAGAAAATTTCGATTTTTCGCTAAAGGTCGAAAGATTGAGAAATATCTTTAAAAAAATATCTTGCATCGCATCTTCCGCCATGCCTTCATCTTTGAGTAAGGATATACATTTGCCATACACTTTATCTGAATACTTTCGATATAAAGTCGAAAAATAAACTGATTGCTGTGTTTCCAGGTATTGCCTTACCAGGTCGTTGTCCGAAAGTTGTCGGGCTGTTGTAATAGTCGTATGTTTCTTCAACGGTTTTCTGTTGGATAAACGGGGGTTTACCGAATATGATTGAAAACACTAAACCATTTTTCATTAAATTAATGAAAAACGATTGACAATCGGCTGGAATTTGATTTATTAGACGAATCTTAAAAGCAAAAGATACATTATTTAACAAAATATTTTCGTTTTTACTTTTGTTTGCTAAATATCTTTTATTAAAAAAGCACTTCTAATAATTAGCTTCAAACCAATTATTGGCAATAATACGCAATTTTTGATTATTTTAAAAATAAGTGAAACTATTTATGCGTTTGGTTGCTTTATTTTCTTGCCATAAAAAGAAAATTAACCGCAGAATAAAAACTATATTCGCAACAAAACCATTCTTTTTTACGAAAAATAATTTGAAAAGTATCGCTTTTTTTTACATTCTAAAATATATTTTTTTTTATTGATACTTATTTTCTATAATAATTCATAACACTATAATTAAATCAAATGTATGGACAAAATAAAAATCCTTTGGGCTGATGACGAAATCGACCTACTCAAACCTCAGATTCTTTTTTTAAAACAGAAAGGCTACGATGTCGTTACAGTCACCAATGGTCATGACGCACTTGATGGCTGTAATGACAATATTGATGTCGTTTTTTTAGATGAAAGTATGCCCGGCATGACAGGAATAGAAACCCTCTCAAAAATAAAAACGACCAACCCCAGCCTCCCTGTTGTGATGATTACCAAAAATGAGGCAGAACACATTATGGAAGATGCATTAGGCTCTCAAATTACCGATTATCTTATCAAGCCTGTCAATCCAAATCAAATTTTGCTGACGCTCAAAAAAATTATAGATAACAAACGTTTGGTACGCGAAAAAACTGCTTTAAATTATCAACAAGATTTTCGCCAAATCTTTATGCAAATTAATAGCGGCTTAGATATAGTAGAGTGGTCTGATGTTTATCGCAAAATTATTAATTGGGAGCTAAAATTAGATGCCTCGCAAACCACAGAAATGTCCGAAATTTTAGCAACACAAAAAAGCGAGGCAAATGCAGAGTTTTGCAAATTTGCTTCGCGCAATTATCTAAAATGGGTAGAAGGCAGTGGCGAAGCACCAACAATGTCGCATAATTTATTAAAAAATAAAGTTTTTCCACACATCCGACCCGATGCGCCTGCTATTTTAGTGCTCTTAGATAATTTGCGCTACGACCAGTGGAAAGTCATTGAGCCTATTTTGAGCGAACTATATAAAGTAGAAGAAGAAGATTTTTTTTATAGTATTTTGCCTACGGCTACGCAATACAGTCGAAATGCTATTTTTGCAGGCATGATGCCCTCCGAAATTGCCCAACGTTTCCCTCAATGGTGGTTAAATGACAACGAAGAAGGAGGCAAAAATCTTTATGAGCATGACTTACTCGGCGAACAAATTAAACGGACTTTCCGCAAAGGGCTAAAGTTTGATTATATAAAAGTAACCAGCATTAGCAATTCTAAACCATTGCAAGACAATATTTTGAATTATTTGAATAATGATTTTACAGTTATTGTTTACAACTTTATTGATATGCTTTCGCATGCGCGCACTGAGATGGAAGTTTTGAAAGAGCTCGCTGGCGACGAAACGGCTTATCGCTCTCTTACGCGTTCTTGGTTTTTACATTCACCGCTTTGGGCTGCCCTTCAGCGCATTGCAGAAAAAGACGTTCAACTTTTTATCACCACAGATCATGGCACGATTCGCGTAAAAACGCCATCAAAAGTGCTTGCCGACCGCGAAACGACCACCAACTTGCGCTATAAAGTGGGAAAAAATCTACAATATGACAAAAAAGATGTGATTGATTTTCGTGACCCAAAACAAGCCGGTTTGCCGCGCCCAAATGTGAGTTCTACTTATATTTTTGCGAAGGAAGACGTATTTTTTTTGTATCCCAACAATTATAGCCACTACAATAATTATTATAAAAATACTTTTCAGCATGGTGGCGTTTCTTTGGAAGAAATGATTTGCCCTGTGATACGATTGCGCACAAAATAAGATGAAATTTAAAAATTTGATAGCTTACACTTTTTTTATCTAATTTGCGTTTTATCGAAAAAAATCACTATTTTTAAACTCAAAATTTCACTAAATAGGGGTTATATCATGCGAATTGGAGTTTTTTTTGTGCTAATTTTTGCTTTTACGGCTTGCCAAACAGAAGAAAAGCAAATTCAACGAGAAATTACAGCTATTGAGCAGCAATCGTTT